TCCCTCCCCCCCCCCACCCCCCTCAATCCTCTATCGTTCTTACCACTATGAATTCTGTAGTCATTGGTATGTACTTCATGTATGTACTTCAGCATGTGACCTTCTTTCCAGGTGTCTCTATTTTATTCAACTGCGCAGTCATTCCCTTCAGGATAAGCAGCAGTTTGTCAAAACCGTGCCAACTACATGAATTAAAGTTAAACCTGGGAAAAAGTCGTACAAAAGCACAAGCAAAAGTTCTGGAAAATGTCAATAATTTACGAGGAATGGATGACCCGGAAATTCCTTCAAACCGTTAAACTCGGGGTTGGTGACACGTTCCTTCAGGCGGCTTGCAACAGTTTCCAGTACTTTCCAAGAGTTAGATTTTAATGGGTCATTATCACCACTCTTAATCAGTTGATACTACAGTCATCATATCAAAAAACTGTCCAATCATTGGTGATCTCGTTATCATTTTCGTGACACAGTATCTTACCATATCTACAGTATGGCCTGCTAAAAACACCCTTAATTCCAGCTTTAACTGCAAATAACTCAAAAACAAGCTTAGCACCCCCCCCCCCCAACATTTCTTATCATTGCATTTTGATGTGCAAGAAAAGCTGCAACCTTTGGCAAAGTTTTAACAAATTCTGTCCAGGGGTTCAGAGCCACCTTAAATTTCGAAAATTTAAGGTGGCTCTGAACCCACTCGACAAGCATCTTCTCATGCTTATTACAATTCTATAATTTAAAAAAATGGGGATCCCCAATCTTGTTTTTGAGATGTAAGCACTTAAAGCTAAAATTAAGGGTGTTTTTAGCAGGTTCTGCTGTTGCTATGGTAGCCAATTTTGCTATGAAGTTTTGCCAATGGCTAGGCATTTACTTGATACCAATATTGTAGCATTACTTGATAAACAGAGGTAGTATTCATCTGTCAAAGTATTGCTGTTAAGTCCTAGAAATTGTTGTCAGCCTCCTAAGTGTTTTCATGAGTAGGGAGAAATTACACATTACTGCTGTCACTGCGCCCCGCTTCAGCTGTTCTAATAATAAGCTCTATTTTCTTTTTTGTGCAAAATTCCAAGAGTTTTGTGCTAGAAGAAAACTGTGTGTTTTTTAAGACTAATTACCGATCAAATAGAGACACACATTCCCATGTGCATACCCCAGGTGTTTGATTAATTGATGCATCCCAGGGAGCACAAATTTCACATCAGTGGTAATATTAGGGTGGGGAGTTTGACACCATGTGAGGGAAAGCAGGTATTCAAGGGCGATTCTTGTTCTTTTCCACAATTTATTTTTCCCATGTGTGTCCAGAGGGTTGGGGCATTTGCACACCACCACCAAGGAGATAAGGATTTGAGCAACTGAACATTCAAAATGTCTAATGCCCAGGGTGTTGAACTGGGGGAGGGGGGGAAGGGGGATTTTGAAAGGGTTTCGTATGAGATAAAGATGGCCTGAAAACTGTACATTTTTTCCCAATTCTCATCTCTATTACACAAGTGACATGAAGGGTAGCTCATTTGTTTAGAATTCAAAATACACATATTTCCTCCCCTGGCATACATAGCCTCATGTAGAATAAGTACACAAATGAACAGAGCATTTGTTGCATGACCAAATCTATTTTGCCATTTAACAATTATGGTGGAATTGTGACTTTCATACTTCTAAAATGACAGGATACATAAGGGAGGCAATAACAAATGTTGAAAGTTTTATAATGAGATATGATGGAGGAATGCAGCTCTGCCTGGCACTGGTACCAACATCACATAATTACCATCAAATTAATAATTTTTTTTTCTAAAATTATAAACAGATAGTTATGACAAAAAAAAAATTCAAAAAATAAGCTAATGGGGCCATGGCACCGTTTTCAAAGTAAAATGTTTGGACCAAATATGAGATTTTGTGGTTGAATGAATGCTGGAAAACCAAGAATCTGCATGGACAAAGATAGTTTAAACTAATGAGTCATTTGAAAAGGGAGAGGAAGGGAGAAGGTACCTACATTACTGTCATGTATCTTCCCAAAATTTGAGGTGGCAACCACATCTGCACATGCAAACACGTTCTTTAATTAAAAAGTAGAATCACTATATTCATTGCTCATATCTGACACATACAAAGAAATAGTATCTTAACTGCTGCTAAGCCTTCAAGTTTAAAAGACTGTTAGAGCAATCTGGAGGGCTGCAAAACTGAAATCAGTTCTAGCTCACTGCTACAACATCTTTTAATCATTGACATGTGTTTAAAAATGACAACTCAGTTATCACAACTGACTGAACTCTAAAGGACATTGGATTTTCACTTTAAACATTTGCAAATAACATTACATGTACATCTACATGTTCCTGTATTTTAAGATTGATCAGTGATTTTTAATGCAAGTTGTCAAAAGAATGTATCAAAACCAACTACCACTATCACACTCATAAAGGCTATGATCACACGTCTGACCATCTTGCCTTCTCTACAAAAAACCTCATTATAACCAGTAATACATGAGTGCTGAGTAATGAGAGTGATCTTATGACAAAAAGCAGCTCAGCTCTTCATTGAGTTGAGACTTATTATAAAACTGAATTTTTAGCTTCCCCAGTGCTATGAGACTGCTAAGAGACTGCTAAGAGCTACAAACTATGGCAAATATGGGCACCAACCTACAATTTATAGCCACTTATCTAAATGTCTACAATCCATACATGTTATTAATACTGAAAACTCCCAACAATGACCAGTTTATTCTGTCCCAGCACAGCCATTGTCAAAAGGTTCTACTGTAGTATTCCCAATGACTGATCGACTAGTTTTTCATAGTTTTCAAACTAAGGTGAAAATATATGTTCCAGATGTTAACTTCTATCAGAATTTTTCCGCATGATGATAATTATTTAAAGAATGGACATAAGGCTGCACGATACTATTAAAACATGACTTGTTACATAATCTTCTATGACTCGATACAATCTAGGTGACATTTCAAACCAATAGCTTAACTGGCTTTGTAATCTGTAGTGAATCTTGGACATACGTTCATCTCTTCTCATCGCACTCATCGGTGCATGAGGCAAATGTAAGTTGGTGCTTGAAAATATCACATGATAAAGTTCTACTTAATTTAGAACTCATGAATCTTCCATATTTACATGTGCCACCTTTACAACAACAATTAATTTACTTAAACAAACATTGCAATAAAAATACAACTTAAGAAAAGGCATTAATAAAATGCCTTACTGATGATGTAAACATGAACAGTGGTGTTACAAAATTCATAAGTCAGAAATATTGTTATTGTCACTTATCCTTGAATTACTGGGTTAAAAAAAAACATGCCCATGATCTCTGGTTTAGTTACATGATCTCTCAGCTGATACATGTAGATGATAACAATAATATTTGACAAGTCACCAAGCACTAAATTCATATCACCACACCACACAAAGATCATCCTTATGAGACGTTAATATCGCAGTCGTTTGCTGTTGTCATAGTAACTGGGAGGTCCCTGCTGGCCATAGATTCCAGTATCACCTTCTGCAGCCCTCTTTTGACTGAGCTGCTGTTGAGCGCCTGGTGCAACCTTCAATGACACAACATCACATCCATTACTACCATATTACTACAATAGAACTGCCACAGTTGCACAGGGCTACAAGAAAACACTGCACCCTCGGCACAAAGTGAATGCCTATAACCACATGCAAGTTAAAAGAATGTAAGTTCATTTGTCTTCTACCATACCATTTGTCAACTCAAAAATCTTCACACCCAAAATTCTTCCCTGTTATGGTTTGTTTAGACCACAAAATGTGGTCAAGTGTATTCAGCTTGATTTCATTACATGCCACTAGTTAAATGGCTCTGACCTCTGACTGTTAAGAGGCCCTGCGCCTAAGAAACGACCGATGATTTCCGGCTAAAAAATAAAATCGGCCGATTTTTATCTCCCAAGTAGAGGTTACCAAATACT